TGCTGCACCAGGAGCATCCGCCCTCGCCACTGTCACACCGCTCGCACTGGCAAGTGATCGTTATCCGGCGGTGGTGATGCCGTCATCGTTGTCGTAGAGGTTGTTGCCGCAGGATCTATGCTCCCCGAACAGGGCGTCCTACTACGTCTGAGCGGAGACCATGGCCCCGCCAAGGGGATACGCAAGCGCCGGCCGCCGGGACACCCGGTTTCCGCGCAGCCCGTAACCAATCGACAACATCTTTGACGTAGTCACCGTCGGCTGCAGACGGCTGGTTGGACGGACTCAAGGCGATGCCAGAGCCGAAGATGTGGTTGATCCTCACCAGGCCCGCCAGCACCGCAAAGAAGGTCAAGGGAGATTAGGAGGCCCGGGGCAGCAGCAGCGAGTTGCCGACAGCCAGGGCGCGGCGGCGGCAACGGCCGATCATCAGAGGACGAAGCATGTTCCATACATACGGGCCGAGCCGAGACAACGGCCGACGCAGCAAGACAACCCGAACCACCACACCGGCCAACCAGAGCTCCCCGTGACGGAGGAGGCCGAGCAGGACGCCGCGGTCCATTACGACAGGAAGAAGGATATACCATAGAAACAGTATATGCTAACCCGAAGAAAACCTAGCACAATGATATGAGAAGAAGGACGATCTATTTATAACCCCCAGGACGTAAGCAATGGTAGTATATGGCGAGGTTTCGAGATCAAACGACTACAGCGGCGCAAACCAGAAACAAAAAGCAGACTCTAGATCGAAACATGAAAGCGACACCGATCAAAAAACGCAAGAACCCTCCAGATCTGGTGATGGAAGCGGCACCGTTTTTCACCATAGAGCGGCAAAATCGCTAACCGCATCCAACCGCACCCAAGAATTCAGCACACAAGTTCAAAAATTTGAAACTAGACACCGAATCCACAAAGCATTTCTACCCCGGCAAATACCAAATTAATAGCACGTGTCACGTTCAAACTTACCAGAGGTCACTTTCAAACAAGTGGAACAACCTTGGGGCAAAATTTTTGTCTGGAATAGATGCTTGGGTATTTGTATTCCTTTCCCGTAGTCTTCTTTGTTTGGATGAACAACGCCCATCTTTCTTAGTATATCTTCATCTTGGACAACTTATGTAGCATGTTGAATAGTAGACGTGGACGTCGTTATATCATCAGTGACCATCGTAATTAATCTACATACGGTCAATGTAATGAAACGCTCCTCATCCATGGCACAAGATTACACGTTTTACCCTTCTTGACAGTATACGTGTGTGTGATAATAGTACACAACATCATGCTCTTTGTACCATGGCTCACCCAATTACAAGTGGCAGGAAACCATCGGCGCCGGAATCACATCGCACTAAACCTCGCAAAACAATTTTCCCAACAAAAACGGTACCTTAGTTTGGTGCGTGACAGTGAGCTCTTCATGACCCCAACGAAACAAGTATGGTTTTGGATGTGCTATTATTGGTATCTCCAGCTTCCCCACCATCTTGATGCTTGCTGGTTGCTGCGTTGATCAAATTCATGTGATTGATCATCATAGCACATGATATCTCTCTCACTACCACACGGATGTGAAAAAACCCAGTCCAACGGTCTTGCTCCTCCAACTGAAATCCATAGCTTAACTTACTGAATAATGATGTGCTCGCCATCTTTTTCATAGTTTCGTGAACAACCTGATGCTCTAAAATACCACCTGATAAGACCGAAACTCGATGGAGAGATTCGATATGTTTTTGCGGCCTGGTCTTTCACGACACTCCACGTCTAGCAGCAGATATCTCTCGCCCCGTGCATGCTATGTGCGCGAAGTAGAGGGATTGAACCCTACGGTCCAGCATGAGAATACCATGGAGATTGCCACGGTGAGCTGCTCTTCACAAGCTTGGTGTCGCACCAAGTCGAGGAGCAGCACGAGCCGCTTGAACCGAACCCAATGTCAAATCAGGCTCAGGACGAGCGTCGGAATGTTCTTCTTGGGTCAATCCCAAATCATAACCAGCAACCGCTCCCCATGGCCCAGATGTCAGATCAGGCTACGACTGAGCATGACAGTCCAAGGTCAATGTCAGATCAGATCTCGGAGCCTCTTCCCGTGGTCGTGATTTTGGATCAAAGTCAAGGGGAACATTTGGAATATTTTCCAAGGTTGATATCAAATCAGAACTCAAAGGCGTCTCCCTGATCCCAACATCGGGAAAGGAACAGGAGGAACATGAGAAACTTCTTCTGAATGAGAATTTGGATCGATTTCAGAAGCTCGCAACATTGGACGACTCGATATCAGTGTATGATTGAATCTGGGAGTCCCCGAAAGAGGTCGAATTTTTCGACCAACCCACCACCCATCTCATTGCTAAAATCGAAGACATGTGGCACCGATGAATCTATTTTATTTATTGAACCTATTTTATTTATTGAGGTGGCCGTATGCATTGTTCTGATGCAGAGGCCGGGGAATCCCCCCCTTCTCAAAAAAAAAGTGTCACCGACGACACCAAAGACATGAAAGAGGAGATCGGCGAGTCCTCAGTGATAGACTTGATGTTGAGTGTGAGGAGGTCGGTCTGGAGCATAGCCTAGGCCTGCCATGCTCCTTCCCGGCGGCCGATGACTTAGCTTATTCCAAATATGATACGGAGGACGGTTTCTATGAAATGCGTCAGGGTGGGGACGCTATTCGTGGTCGCAGGAACCTAGCGGCGACAAATCCTCCCTGCTTCTCGGATCGGTGATGTCTCATGTCTTCCCGCCAAGCTTCAAGCTCGTGAAGTGTGAAAAATACGACGGGTCGAAAGATCCCTACTTTTGGATCGAGGATAACATCCTCGTGGTCCATGTGGGTAATGGCGACAAATTGTACACCATCAAGAACCTGCCGCTCATGCTAAAGGGTTCAGCCTGGCATTGGCTGCACACTCCGCTGCCGAGCTCGATCAACGCTTGAGCAGCTCTGCAGTCCGAGTTGATAACAAATTTCTAGGGCACACAGGTTAAGGGACCGGTTATAGATGCTCTAAGGCACCCATCTGGATATACTATTTGGCAACGACAGTGCAATGCACCGATGTTCTTTCCACCCATACTACCATTTCCAAGATCATCCACACTACAATGATCAAAAAAGGCTGCTTATGTATTAGCTCGATGCATTTGCTACAAGAGAAGTTCATCAGCACGTAGTATGTACTACTTGGTCAGCACGGGCCTGCATGTATAGACGCATGGCTGCACATGTGTGTGCTGCCATGATAGAAATACCAGTGGACGTCGCTGCTGATAGAATTGATACACAATGCACTGTTGACCCGGCTATCCTTGAGATGTATACTTGTTTGTCAGATTGTTGCAACTTGTGAGTGCCGACTGGTTGTTTGTCAGATTGTTGCAACTTGCGCGTTAGGTACGAGCTGACTGGGTTTCCACTACACATGTTCCCGTCCAGCTCCAGGAACACTGACTCGGTATTATTCTCTGGCCATTCTGGTGCCCCATCGTCTGTGGAGCTTAAAGGAAAAGGAAATAGGAAGAGGCAGTTTGTTTGGTTGACTCGCTCCAGTCCAGTCGTCGATGCGCCACCCACAAATCACTATCCAGTTACTATCCTTGGCCAGCCGCCAGGAACGACTGCCTCCACCACCCGTTACTCCTAGTCCATCTCCAGACACTTTCATCCAGCTCCGGCGCAGCCACCCACCCTCTCCCGGCCACCTCTCCAGTTACACCACGCCTCACCAGTTCGACCTCTCTGCAGCAGCCGTCGCTGGGGTCGAGATGTCCGTGAGCGTGACGATTGGGGTGATGAGACCCCTCCTCGGCAAGCTCGCGGACCTGGCGGGCAACGAGTACAGCAAGCTCAAGGGGGTGAAGAAGCAGGCGGCCTTCCTCGAGAAGGAGCTCAGCGCAATGAACGCCGCACTCGAGAAGATGGAGGTCATGGACGAGCTTGATCCCGTGGCTAGGGACTGGAGGGATCATGTCCGGGAGATGTCATACGACATGGAGAACTGCATCGATGACTTCCTGCGCCAGTTTGGAAGTGGTAATGCAAAGCTAGGATTCATCAAGAAGACGGCCCGACGTCTCAAGATGTTGGGACAGCTCCATCGGATTGCCGACCGCATGGAAGAGCTCAAGGCTCTTGCGCTAGACGCAAATGAACGACGCCTCAGGTACATTCCAAACTGCTTTCAAGAACAATTCAAGAGTCCTCCCGGTATTTAAGTTCATTTGTTATTAAAGGGATCTATAATTTACATGTTATGTCTGTACGACGCAGAGAATTATGAGAGCATAGAGGACTTCACAATTACGCTATACTCACTCCCTCCGTGAATAAGTGTACATCTAGCTTTTGTTTTAAATCAAAATTTTAACTAATTTTCTAGAGAAAAGTATGTAGCATTTATGACACTAAATTAGTATCACTAGATCCGTTTTAAAATGTACTTTGATAATATACCAATTTGATGTCATATATGTTACTACTATTTTCTATTAAGTTGGTCCAAATTTTAAAACTTTGACTTAAAACAAAAGCTAGATGTACACTTATACGCGGATGGATGGAGTATGTGGTAACCAATCTGTAGCTCTATTATCCAAATAAAAACGCTGGAAACAGTTTGAAGGGTTCTGTCTAAAACTGTTTCTGAATATCCTATTCTAGGTACAAGTTTGAAGACCGCAAACCTGATTCTAGCTTTGTTGCTATTGATCCTCGCATGACAGCAATATATGTGGAAGCTGCTGGCCTTGTGGGCATCGACGGTCCAACTGAGGAGCTTGTCAATTTGCTGTCAGATACTCAGGAGAAGCTCAAAGTGGTGTCCATCGTGGGATTCGGAGGACTGGGTAAAACTACACTGGCCAAAAAGGTGTACGATGAGATCAAAGGGGAGTTTGAATGTACATCATTTGTTTCTGTATCCCAAAGACCAAATATGACGGGGCTTCTCCATCGTATACAACTAAAACTTGGGATGAATCAGTCTTCTCGGGTCTATGAGGTGCAAGACATTATTGAAGAGCTTAAGGAATATCTCACAGATAAAAGGTATTATTATTTACTTCAATCCTCACGCATGCTTTTGCATGGGCAAGTTATGTTAAATTCGAATAACTGTTTGATTAGATCAATCAATTTATATGCTTGTAGCTTGCATCGTATATGGGGGAATCACACATGGTTGTTCTGATCATATAGAGGCATTTTTCCTGCACAATAGAGGCATGTGTTTTAGTTTCTATTCATTTGATTTTAAAAGGCATCCATCAAAATGCAAAATATGCAATGATGTTACACCCTAAGAGACATTCAATTCAGTCAGCTTGTTTGGATCCTATGGATTAGGCCTAGAATTAGAAAATAGTCAAAACTGGCTGCAGACATTTTTGCGAGAAAAACATCGGATCTACTATCAACTATCAAGGCAGTATAAATAACACTAGAAGTCGAAAGTACATCCAAATTTGTCGACCACCTAGCGACCACTACAAACATAGAGTACTCCAAGAATTTAAATCACAAATTCCAAGTCCAATTCCAGTGTGTTAAAATATGGATATATTAATTAGTTACTAACAACAAACAATAAAATGGAAATAGTGTTTCACAGTGTTCATACATGGTAAGGGCATCTCCAATACCGACCCTCGAACCACCTGCAACTGTGCGGACTGCACGGTCCGGACGTGTTTTGCCATCCAACATGGGTCAGTATCGGTATGCCGATCAGTCCGGACGCACTCGTTCCCACAAAAAGAAACAAAGTGGGGGAAGGGGACTCTGTAGGCGTCTAGACCGCTTCCATGCCCGCATCTGACTGCCCTAGCCCACCCAAAACCCTCATCCCTCGCCCACTCGCTTTCCCTCCCAACGCTAGCTGCCCACATGCATGCCGCCCTAGAGCGGCCACTCTGCATTGACGTTGAACTAGAGCAGAATTGACCTCTCACTCATGCCTGCATTGAAGTGGCTCGCCGGCCATGGGCGCCACCCGCTCCGCATCCCTGGTGTCGGTGCCTGTTCAATGCCGGAGAGATGTTTACCGGACGGGACCGGATGGATATCTTCCACGCCTGTTCAATGCCCGTTCTTCCATCTGCCATCATTAAACATGCTCGTCGGCCGAGGAACCAACTCTGGTGCCCGGAGGCTTGACCTCACCGGAAACCACTATTTAAGGGTTGCCACAACCGGCTCATAACACACCACAATACTTCCTCCTCCCTTGTGCCACATCTTCCATGACCGCAAGCGCGAACGCCGTGTGGGAGAGCCATGTGCAGATTCGATAAGGAGACCAAATGGTGTGCAATGAAAGGGTATAAGATGCATTAAGGAAGAGATGATAGTAAACCCATATCATTAATATATCCTGCCTTAAAATGTAATCAAATTCTGATGAAAATCATAGTCTAAATCTAAAACACATAAATCAAGATCATGCCCATAGGTGTTGTAAATGAAAAATAGGGATGCAGCTTCCAATATTGCATCACTTTTTTTTTTGAAAAGAAGGATAACCGCTAGCCTCTGCGATACACACAACCATCTTTATTATATTATTCAATAGAGCCTGTCAAAAACAAATATATGAATCAACCCAAAGCCACCTTCCCTGCGATCTACTCCCTCCGTTCCAAATTACTTGTCGCTGAAATGGATGTATCTAGAATTAGAATACATCCAGATACATCCATATATGCGACAAGTAATTCGGAACGGGGGGAGTATGCCTCTACACCTACTAGCTTGATGACGTGCGTGCCTTGACTAGGCACTAATGCGCACCATCTAATCTGGTGGCCTCGCCAAGCCACCCAACGGCGAGCCGAGATCACCAACATGTCTAGCATTCCCTTAGTGCACATATTGGAGAAGCCTTGTAGATATGTTGGAGAAGCCTTGTAGACATGTTCAAGAAGATTTGCAGACATGACATACCTTCTGCAAAATGGTGGAGAAGCCTTGCAGACATGACAAAAAGTTCTCAAATTTGAAAACCATGGGCGTATTTGGTCCCCTATCATTGGCAAGGAGGAGTGGGCAGTGGTCTGAGAGCGAAGAAGAAATCGCATGGAGAACATTGATGTCGAACTCCATATCCCAGTCGGTAATACAGAAAAAGGAGTCAAGCTTACACATGCATGGTTGGATTCATTATCGCATTACTCCAAGTGAAGCAGTGATTTTGACAATTTTCAAGAGTGGCACGAAATGGTTGATTCTACTCATGTTGACATTGTGCTTGTTTTTTTTGTCTCTGGCCCGATAAATTTGCTTGAGATTCCAAAGCAAACCACGTAAAAATGTTCAGTGGTTTTTCCATGGATAGTTCTTCAAAGAAATCATTCTTTCTGTTTGAAGCAATGGGGCAAGTCACACTAGTAATTTGAAGGGCGTGTTGGAATTCCACATGAAGTGTAATTTTGAAGAATTGCATTCTTCTATAAAATAGTATAGTGCTTTCTAGAAATCTGCAACTATATTGTTTTGAATAGGGCAACTTGGTTTGATATTTATAAAGTTTCTTCTCCAGATTAACCAATTTCGTTTTTCCATCAATTGTAGATGTATTTTTTCAAAAATTGTGCAACTAACACTACTAGAAAAGTGGAACTGGTTTTGCTATGCGTTTTTCATCTCGTATTATGCTTCAATTCTTTTGCTTCCTAGAATTTTCATACATCTTGCTATTTTTTCATGGAAAGGCTTTTTAGTAACTGAAGCCTAGTACAAGCAAGGAATGGCAAAAAAACGCTCATGTGGAAATTAATGGGCAAAGAAAAAGGCACATAGGCCGAGTACTTACGACCGAAAAGGATAGGGGAAAGTTCTCATTGTACCCTCATACCAATATACTCTCTATCCTCACTGTCCATTATTGCATCAAAATTCATGCAAGAAAACGCCTCTTTTGTTGTTTCTCCCAAATAAAAGAACATTTGAACTTCAAACTTTATATATCAACATAACACAATTACTACCATGTGCAGAATTGTTTTAAATTTTTTGGCGCTATATAATTTTAAAAATATATAGTTCATTCAAAATTTGAAAAAAAAATAAAAAAAACATGTTTCATCCAAAAAAACAGAAACATTTTATACAATGAGTGAGACTTTTGTATAGTTGATCTCGAAAGGTTTAAGATCAAATGTTCTCCTGTTTGGAAGAAACAAAAAGGAGAAATTTCTATATAAGGATAGTAGGAATCTTAACACAAACTGAATGGTCTAGTTAGAGGGTACACTAGTATCGGGATCTAAAATATCCACAAACGAAAGAAAGAAACGTACAAGCCCATAAATATATATAAGATGAATGAGGATATTGGCGTGTGGATCGGATAGATAACATGTCAATTGAGAATTTTACTAATTCTCAGCCGTCTAAACCATAGACAGTCCCTAATTATAGACAAATATATGTATGTAAGTTGTCTGGATTTTAAATTTGGAAGTCAGTTTTGTGGGAGATGGAAAATTGGAGTAGGACAATTATTGGATCTTAGTCCAATGACCCAGACTTGCCTCAATTTTTTCACGTGACTTACAGATAGCTGGTCCCATAATATTAATGTCGAGTTAATGAGGAATGCAACATTCACGAAATTTTACCTACGGTTTACAAGCTGATTCTGACTTGGCAAAGTTTGATTCGAACTAGGACAATACCCGTGCATTAAAATGGGATATAAATATTCTAGTATGTTAGCTTGTGATTTACCTTCCCATATTAACGTGATTGTCTAATTAAATGTTTATCAAGCTCTGTTCGTGATTTACCTTACAGTTAGAATTTCGGTAAGTGTATTAAAGTGGAGTTGATTCAAAGTGTAAGTAAATTACTATGATTGATTATCATACATGAAAGGTTGGACAAAGAAATGGTGGGAAGAAAAGTGAAACATGGAACGTTGCATTCTTTTTAAGTAGTATACAAGATATAAGATAAGACAATGGGGAGGCTGGGCCCACCCCCATGAAATTTAGGGGGTGGGAGAAGAGAATTAGAGGAAGGTTACATAACTCTTTTATAGCAGCACGTAGGTTTAGGTTTCTGCAAGTTAATTATTTCCATCTCCCAAAAGTAAAGAGGGTAACAATACACTAGCATATTGTTTTTGGTTGCTTAATTTAGATTTTGTTGATTTTAACACATCATGCATTCTTTTGGTGTCATTTAGTCTCGAATATTATACAAGCCTCCTAATTTAGCCCACCGAAAAAGGGGTTTCCTTGAATTCAATTTTCCTTAGTTTTCTTGGTCAAGTTTGATAGAATATTTGGAAGCTTTCATCTGCAACTAATAATCATATTGAATAATGTGTATATAACATGTGAAACTTATTGTAGTTGATGACTTGTGGTATCAATGACCATGGAATACTATGAGTTGTGCCTTTTACAAAAAATGTTATATTAACTGAGATTTATTTGAGTTTTATCCGATCATTTAATCATTTCATATCATTTAGTTTTTATGTCATTTATTGTTCTAATTCGATAGAATATTTTGAAGCTTCCATCTACACTTATAATCATATCCCACCATACGTACCATTGACAGGTACCTTATTGTATTGGATGACTTGTGGGACCAGTCAGCATGGAATACTATCAGTCGCGCATTTCCAGAAAATGCTAATGGGAGTAGAGTAATGGTTACCACACGTGTGGAAGGCGTGGCTTGTGGAGCATGTTGCAATCAGCCTGGGTGCATTTACAGAATGGAGCCCTTTGACGAGGTAGACTCAAAAGAGTTATTTTTTCATAGAGTGTATGGGTCTGAAGATGACCGTTCATCCCAATTTGAAGAAATCTCAGCTAAGATTCTAAAGAAGTGTGGTGGGCTCCCACTTGCAATAATTACTATAGCTAGCCTATTAGCTACTCGTCCTGAAAGGTTAAGGGATGAGTGGGAGAGCATCAAGAATTCTCTTGGAACCCAGTTTGTGGTAAACCCCACTTTGGATGGGGTAAAGAATATATTAAACCTTAGCTACATCCATCTTCCCCTTCATCTCTGGGCATGTTTGCTGCACCTTGGTTTATATCCAGAAGATCATGAGATCGAGAGGGATGATTTGGTTCGACAATGGTCAGCTGAAGGACTTGTCAGTAAATTGCATGGGAAAGACTCTGAGATTGTTGCGCAAAGCTATTTTAATGATCTTGTCAACAGAAGCTTGATTCAGCCTGGACGTACCTCGGATGGCGAGTTGGTATCATGCAGAGTACATGATATGATGCTCGATTTGATCCTAAGCAAGTGTGAAGAGCATAATTTTCTGATAGTTGAATGCAATCCTGAAGAGATGGTAAGAGATCATGGCCGAAAATATAAGACACGTCGTATATCCATGAACTTCAGTAATGGTGGTGCAGCAGATGAGACAACATCAAGGACTATTCCTTCTAGCCTATCACAAGTTCGATCACTTGCGCTTTTCGGGGAATCCAAGTACATGCCCCCTCTTTTGCATTTTAAGTATCTCAGGGTCCTTCTCTTCAAAAGTTTGGGCCACAAAGTAATTGATCTCACGGATATTGGCCAACTGTTCGAACTGAGGTATTTAAAAGTTTCATCTAAAGGAAAAGTCAAACTCCCTGCCGAAATGCAAGGGCTTGTGCATTTGGAGACACTAGATTTAGATTGCATGTGGGCCATAGAAATCCCATCGGATATAGTTAACTTGCCCCGCTTATCCCACTTGGAAGTTCCATACGGATGCAAAGTGCCTAAAGGGATCAGGAAAATGAAATCATTGCACACTTTGATTGGGTTTTACCTGGGCCCGAGTTCATTGGAGGATATTGAGGGACTCGGTGAGCTTACCAATCTGAGACGCCTGGGGCTCTCAGTGTATTTTCTAGACGGACTTGAGATAGCAGCATGGGTTGCTTTGGCGCATTCTATTGAGATGTTGCATGATCTCAGATATCTCAGCATCATTTGCCATGCCGCTTATACGAGTGACCTGCTAGACTCATTATCAAATCCTTCTCGTCATATGAAGGTACTTAAGCTGTGTCCACTTAGGATGCCTAGAGTTCCCAAGTGGATTTGTGATCTCCAATGCCTCTGCCGGCTAGAGCTGAATGTCGACACGTGTACTGACGAGTTGCACGCTCTTGGAGAGCTGCCCTCTCTCGTCCACCTCAAATTACGGATGTGGAGTATCCCTGAAGACAGCTGTGTCACTTTCTCCGCGGGATCATTTCCGGTTCTGGAGGTCTATGAATTTGAATCAGAGTATGATGTTACTGCGTACCTGGTCTTTGCGGCAGGGGCTATGCCCAAACTAAATTTGCTTGTACTACAGTTCGACAAGCGTAACTGGGGCGGCGCTACACCAGTTGGCTTGGAGCACCTGTTGAGCCTCGAGTATATCATTGTACGTATCATCTGCGGCCTTGAAGAAGTGATGGATAAAGCAGAGACAGAGTCTGCCTTCAGGAACTGTACGGAGGTGCATCCAAACCGTCCTCTGTTTCACATCTCAAATAGAGCACGATAAAAACAGATGGTCGTATGGCGTGACACCACTTCCTTTCTGTGGCCGCTCGTGCGATCTTACCCAAATTCCGCGCAAGACCGGCCATATTCGAGCCGGGAGGTCGCAAATCGTGGTGGTTCTGCTGCAAAGGCCAGAAGAGAGAGGCCATGCCCTCCTTGGGTGATCCCTCGTCGAGGCCGAGGAAGAGGGCGAGGCGGAGATTATTCTTCTCGTGGCGGAGATCTTCATCGCCGGAGTAGTCTGAAGCAGGGATCCGGCGTGTGGCGGGGTGCTGCTACTGCTGCTGGCCTCCTCCTGCAGCTTCTGGACGCGGAGGCTGCGGCCATTCTTGTGCTTCCTAGGCGGACCGGAGGAAGAGCGGTCCTATTGCGGCGGGCGCTGCAGGAAGACGGCGAGGGCATGGCGGTGGAGACCAGGAAATAGGACGGCGGCAATAGCGGCGGCGCGGACGAGGACGACGAACGCGGTTTGGAACTGGCCAAGCTCCGCTCGGCGGTCGCCGGGCTCGATGGCTCCAAGCTCGGCGGTCGCCGTTCCTCAAGTTCCTCACCGGTACGTGAGATGGCTCAAGAAGCTTCTTCAATCTTGCCTCAGTTCGGAAGTGGTCAAGCAAAATGTGGCCGAAAGTTGCAGGCAAGCCGAGGCTGTGGACGTTGGCGTTCTATTCAGCCAAATTCGTCGCGACAGTTCTTCAGGTAATTGCTTGCTGCTCACCACCGTGACTTTTTTAAATATTTTTCTGCAGTTCCAGTCTTGTGTGTAAGTTAAGCAATAGAGGCACATTGACTCACAATTCTGTTCAGGAATCGAGAACAGACAAATTATGTTGGCAATGCTTACTCAACTGTCTACAGAACTTAATTGTGTATTCATATTTCTTTCTAGAATGATGATGTGGTTCCAAAAGAGTTAGGACTTGCTGTAATCTTGTGGTGTTTCTTGCATTAGGCAATGCAAATTTGTGGAGCCAAATAAAGCTTGAACAGTTTTGGTTTTTCTTTGGGCTGTTGTATATTATCACCATTCTGCTACTTAGACTACTGTCATGATGAAATTTTTTTTCAAAAAGGGGGGACTCCCCGGCCTCTGCATCAGAACAATGCATACGGCCACACTGTCATGATGAACTAACTTCAGTATTATCTTCATCAGATCTTCCTTTGAAGTGGATGGGACAAAACAAAAACCTAGCTGCAAACATGTTTGAAATGGCTCCAGAAAGTGCTCCCTCCGTCATCTCCATCTATGAAATTGATTATTTTTGTGGACAATATGGAGAAGGCAATGAAAGTGAGTAGGTCAGGACTCAATAGTCAAGACGGAGCTGCTGGTCCAGAACTCCAGATGCACGTGACGTCTTCAGACAACATTGTAGAGCACCTTCCAATGTCTTGTTTTATCGACAAATCGTCCGGAGATTCGTCCTTCATTCATTTAAGTAGAATACAGTGGCTCAGATTATTATGGGAAAACTAACCCGCATGCATGTATGTGTTTTCGAATTTGAAATGAAATAATAGCATTTGTCCTTCAGACATGGTGTACTGCTCTTTGTATGCCATTTAAACTTTTACTTATGATTTGGATATATATTTTCGCCTGACACCTTTTTAGTTTTAATCTTGGAGTTAGTTTATGGTTGCACAGTTGAATCTCATGTTGATCTTTTCTGTATTTTGGTTGCAAAGTGAATGTGAAACAGCCAAAATTGTTGGTGGGCGTGATCCTCATCTTCATTTTCACATAAGCACCGGACCTTTACAGTCTCGTCATGGGCATCATCCTCCAACTAGCACGGTGTTTTGCATAATGATTTTGACGGAATCCTCAGTTTACTAGACCCATGTAATAAGCATGTACTTCCTCCATTCCTAAATATTTAAGTCTTTTTGGAGATATCAATATAGACTATATATAGATGTATGTAGACGTATTTTAGAGTCTAAATTTTCATTTTGCTCCGTATGCAGTTCATATTGAATTCTCTGAAAAGACTTATATTTAGGAACGGAGGGAGTACCATTGTGCTGCATGCAGAAGAGTGATAGATTATGAATGCATTTCCCAACATTTTGCTGTGGCCTACATCGAAAGCCAGATACTTTTTACGGTTTTGCATCAGACCGTACGCCATCTGTTGGCTGTGGTAGCCAACGGAAAAATCGCCGGTCGCCTGAACCCCTAATACTTCAGGGCGCCCCGTGTTACAAATTCCACAAACCGCGCGCGAGTTTTGTGCATGCCACGGCGCCGTGGTTCAGGTGCAGTGGATCGACCTCTCCAGCCCAGGAACATCAACTACGCGCTGCTCTTAGTAAATCGAGTCAGTTCCAAGTTCATCTCATGTCACCGGCGCCCACAATTTTCAAGCCACCAAACGGGAAGCATGCAGTTCGTTTCGGCCGATCGGCTAATTAACCGAGGAGCGACATCCTGACATACGCTTTTGCTCTTGGTAAATCGAGTCATTCGATTCGTAGAACGATCCGAGACTTGCACGTACTCTATCTGTTGTTATTTACTTGGCACATAGCTTTGTCCCGCATCAAACTTTTTAAATTTTACAAAAGTTTATAAAAAAAAAGTAACATCCGCAATACCGAGTCAATATCATTAGAGTCATCAAATCAATATATTTTCCTACCAATATATTTTTTATTGTAAAAGCTCGTGTTGTTTTGAATAAACTTGATCAAACTTTATAAAGTTTGACTTAGATCAAAGTTAAAAAGCGGAGTAAATAAAATCGGAGTGGGTATATATGAGCAGAACCAGCACGCACGCACCTGCATATATCACAAATAACACTGCAGAAACAATAACATGGAGTACTACTAATTATGCATGCATCGATCAATGTATACATTATCGATTGAAGATTACATCATGTGACGTCCGTCCTAATTAAACCCCTAAACGCTAGCTCATACTATATTTTTTTTATGCATAGTACAGATCGATGTATACTAGCGCGTACAAAGAATGTCCAAGACAGTCGTGTGGCACCGTACAGATCGAACAAATCCACGCATTGTGCACGCCGATATGCAATATAGCGACGAAAAGCCATGCATGCATAGTGCACTCAGACAGAGGGAGGAGAAAACAAGACGGTAGCAGTGTGTTTGACTCGCTCAGTCGTCGGTTTCGTCACACCCAAATCACTACTAGCTACTACCCTCCTTGGCCAGAGAGGACCGCCTCCTCCACCCCCCGTCGCACTCGTAGTCCACCTCCTTGCCGCAGACCCGGCACGTTCATCCACCTCTCTCCAAATCACTTGCAGCCCATTCGACTTGCCACCACTCAGGTCAAGATGCCGGTGAGCGCGACGATAGGGGTGATGAGGCCCCTGCTCGGCAAGCTCGCCGCCCTGGCAGGGGAAGAGTACAGCAAGCTGAAAGGGGTGAAGAAGCAAGCATCCTTCCTGGAGAAGGAGCTCAGCGCCATGAACGCCGCCCTTGAGAAGATGGAACTCATGGACGAGCTTGATCCGGTGGCTAGGGATTGGAGAGACCATGTCCGGGAGATGTCGTACGACATGGAAAACTGCATCGACGACTTTGTCCGCCAGTTTGGAGGCGGTCATGCCAAGCAAGGCTTCATCAAGAAGACTGCTCGACGTCTCAAGATGTTGGGACAGCGTCACCGGATCGCTGACCGGATGGAGGAGCTCAAGATTCTCGCATTAGAAGCAAATGAACGACGAATCAGGTATATGTTAATTTGTTTTCCAGAATAATTGTGGATGCCAGAGGTCCCATAGTAAGCGTTCTTTTTTTTACATGTTATTATGTGTACAACACATATAATTATCAGAGCATAGGGGACATCACAATTATGCTATATTTGGTAACCAATATCTATTTTTCTATTGTCCGAAAGAAGAATGTTGAAAGAAATTATCCTAACACTATTTCTGAAAGACATGTGACTCCCTCCCTAAACATCCTATTCTAGGTACAAGATTGACGAATGCAATCATAACTCTAGCTTTGTGGCTATTGATCCTCGGGTGTCAGCGATATATGTGGAGGCAGCTGGCCTTGTGGGAATTGACGGCCCAAGGAAGGAACTTGTCAATTTATTGACATGTACCAAAGAGAATCTCAAGGTGGTATCCATTGTGGGATTTGGAGGACTGGGTAAAACTACACTTGCCAAACAGGTATACGATGAGATCCGAGGGCACTTTGGCCATACAGCGTTTGTTTCTGTATCCCAAAGGCCTAATATGATAGGGCTTCTCAATCGTATACAACTAAAACTTGGGATGGATAGATCTTCTTTGGCATACGAGGTGCAAGACATCATTGACGACCTTAGAGAATATCTCACACACAAGAGGTACTATTTGCTTTAGTCATCACCTGTGCTTTTGCAGTGGCAAGTTACATTAAATCTGAATAATTGTTTTACTTTATAAGCATTCATTTTTATGCTTGTGGCTTGCATGGCTTGGGATTGGCTTACATGCTTGTTCTAATCATGCAAAGGGTTTTTTTCTGCATGGTAGAGGAATAGGTGTTAGTTTCTTTTCATTTGATTTTAAATGTATTTTTCAAAAAGCATCGATATGCATTGTAAGCCTTTTTAGATATCTGTCTGAGCTTTGTGTAGTAATATTTGAGTCATAACAAACCTTACCCATGACACCAAAATCCACACAAAAAAGATTAGATTTATAACATTCCAGAAGCATGCTCATGCAAACAAGAAATTGTGCAATGCCATGCTCAGATGTGTTGTACAAAAACAGCAAGATGTTGTAGCTACATTGTTCAAAAGATGCAAACAAGAGTATCGTACATTTTGTGATTTCAGCGCATGCTTTTCCGCAATATTTTGGAATATTGTATACAAACAACTAATTTAGGGTTAGGAATATCATGGATTAAATCTTACTAGAATAAAGTAAATTTCCATGTTTGTCTTTCGGAGCAGCCGATAGATTTTTGTTTGATTGAGAATATTGCATTTAATACTTTTAATGTCAAGTA